CTCTGCACGACAGGCTAGGATCACTGGTCATGGAAGCTCAGACTAAAGGAGAGTATATAGTAAAGCAAGAGCTCAGCACGGTGCAGTGACATTGTGGAAAGAAACCAGATACTCTTCAACAAAAGCTGAACAACAGATCAAACTATTGCCAAACTTTGAGCCAGTGCAATACAAAGTGGGCAAGAAGAAAGGTATTGCAGTCCTGATACAAGATCAAGAAGGAAACATCAAGTGCAACATAGGCCATATGAAAAAGTTTATCCAGCCAGAACTTTGCACAGAAATCCACCATACGCAGGAGGAGGGTGAGCAAGGCCAACGTCGCTCTTCAAAGCCCACCAGCGATCAATCTAGAACTTTCATGCGAACCCTCTGCAACAAGTTCTAGTCTACCTGCTTCCCTGCAGCCCATTCAAGCAAGGCAAGTCCTGGCCTGGATGAAGGACTTTGTCTTGTCCACTACCAGTACTTAAAAACATCCTTCACACTTGCAGTCAACCTTACCTTAAGGACTACACTGTAGTTTGTTTAAAAACATTGAACATTGGACAATAGATGTTCAGGATTATAGGACTCCCAAGCTAAGTGGAGGGGAGATGTAGTGACACTTGTGACATTTCCTTCACATTTTCACATGACCATGTTCTTTGTGGAGTCTGCCATCTTCAAAATCCAAAGTTAATGAGTTTCTGAAGTCTTTGTGTGTTGTAAAGTGATAGTGTCCAGATGTAATGTCTGTAACAAAACATTCATGAGTAGAGGTTCAAACATGTACAGGGTTTTTGTCTAAAGTAGCAATTAAATGCATTAGTTCAGTGAGACAATAGAAGAACAATCAAACAAGCTAAAAAACTGTTATATCAGTTGAGCTTACAGTGTTATAATGCACCTTACCGTTGCCACAGAGGAAAGTTTTTTATTAGTTTTTACAACTTTTTGAGAACTTCTGATCGCTTCTGTTTCAAATGGCCAATCATACTGCTACAAAGTGCCACAGGTTTCAAACGTTGGCAGGTTGAGATTTTTTAATTCCCACTAGAGTTATTGGTTAGTGTAATTCCTTCGACAGTTCGTTTTGTTCGCATTACTGCTGTAACACGAAAACTAATCACATTGTGGGCTATAATAAATTATTGAATATTAAATATATATTAGTTTATGTGTAGTTGACAACATGTATTTATATATACAAAATTATATCTTTTAATGTTTCAGAAATTGGGAACTCTTTTGAAAGAGGATTATCTGGAGGTATTAAAATTATTTGTTTGATTGTTAGTCAATGCATTAAAAATACTTGAAATCAGTCTGTATTTGATAAACATGCTCACATGCACCTGTACATGGGCGTACATGGACATACAGAGATGTATATCAGAGTATCAAAGTCAATGCTTACATAATCACCATTAATATTAATATGTTTTTAAAAGGTTCCTCTGTTCTTAACCTTTTCAGTTGATGATGTTTAGAAGTTTAAAATCCTAATATTTCAAGGAGACAGTTGTTGTCGAACCTTACAGTAATTAAGTCTGGTTATATTACAGTGCAAAGAAGAATGTTTCTTGTCTTTTCTATACAGGGGAGAAAAAAAGAGCAAACATTGGTTCTGAACTGATAACAAATCCTTCCTTGATTTTCCTTGACGTAAGTTTATACTGTATATGACGTAAATTAATGTACATTATTATACCTCTCAGTCACTACGCGCGCAGTGATTGGTCAATTTAGCGGGCCGTATTCTACTGTTTATGTTGCCAATATGTTTTGTGATTTCTCGCCAAGAGTTGTTAACTTTTATAGCAAATAAAAGTTTTAAGCTTTCTTTTACTTTAAATTGTGTATTAAAATGTCCTATCGACTTAACAACGGATTCAAATTGACTCGTTTTGCTCAGGGTTCGAGATGCGTTAGGAATTTGAAGCTGTCAGAAACCGTCAGACACACATTAGAGATATAATAAATATCTTACTAACCTCGTCTTCTCGGTCCGTAATATATCTTATGTAGTATGAATCCGCGAAGCGCGCGGGCCATAAATCGAAGGGAAAAAACTTGGTCCGTAACTCACAGTTCGGACCTCGACCTCGGTTAGTAAGAGATATATATTTATTGTATATGTAATATCTGTGCTGTTTTATAATTATATGCATTATGAGAAAAAAAAAAAAAATTATTCCTACTTCTATGCTGTACATCAATTCCTGCAGGTACATGCCTGTCACAGTTCAACTCATATACAACATTACTGACGTTCAGTGATTCTGTTGACTTATATTTTTTTAAATGCTGATATTTTGGTCAGGAACCGACATCAGGGTTAGACTCCAGTAATGCCTTGAACCTTGTTAAAACTCTGAAGAACTATGCAGCGAGAGAAAAGAAGACAGTGGTGACCACGATCCACCAGCCTTCAAGTCAGATCTTTTACATGTTTGACAAGGTTCTTCTGCTGTGTGGAGGACAGGTAAGGGTTCAGCGGAGCTGTTAAGGTTTGTACATTGGTGAACATGGAACTGTTTAACCTTAAGTTATGTTCATCAATTATGCGAGAGAAATTAAAAGAAAATGACACTTGTACTACATAGTGAAGCCAATACAAATACACTCTTTTTTATAAGAACTTTTTTTTATAAGAACGTTGAGGCTGAGATTAACCAACATTTTAAGGACGTGTTAAGAACATTCCTCAGGCTGAGAGTCGATTAAGAACGTTTTTATTTTGCTTATCTGTATATTAAGGTTACAGTATACCTTCAGATCGGCAATTTTCTTCAAATTTGGATTTTTGGTTCAAAGTAATGATCGAAGAGTAATCTCTAATTTCTGAAAACAAAATTGAAAAAAACTCAATATTGGCGGAGAAATGGAGGTTTTACGTTACGGCTGGAAGTAAAAGTTCCCTCTTGATTGACAGCCCTATAACGTGTACGCAATCAACCGAGACTACTTTCGCGGGAATATATGGATACCACGAATTGGC